TTAATTCCAGCTATTTATAGTAACTTTATAAAATGTATTAAAAATAATAAAACACTTTTCACATTAAAAAAAAACTGTTAAAATATAAAAAGATCAACCATGTTTTTTTAAATTGATGAAAATTCACATTGCTGACATATAACACACCTAACTTCACATTGGTCATGATTATAAAGAAATTATCTTTTCTATTTTATTCGATAGATGTCAGTATTGTATAATAAATTAGTAATAACAATATACTAACCGTAAAATTACTTTAAAATAACTTTGAAAACAAAATATGTGGAAAAACGGAGATGATCATAATATTGTGGCCAGCGCTTGTTTATTAGCTAGTTGAAACTAAAGAAAGAGATTAGTTATATATGGTAGGCAGGTTGCTTGTTTAAACATCATGCTTCACAAGTACGTAAAAATTGATTATTTAGTTTAGTACAATCTTCATTTTTATCTAAAGTCTTTAATAGTCTTTAAATTTTTTTAAATCTTTATTTATTGAATGACTTCAAAATATAAAAAATAACCAAAGCTAAAACAAATTTTAGGAGCTCTTCATAAATTACGTCACGCTGTTCAAGAATGTGTGTGAAGGGAGAGAGGGTAAGGGCGGGGAGATATATGGATTTTGTGGCACTTAGTGACATGAAGAGGAAGGGTTCAAAAAACTAAAATTGTAAAATAAAAAATTGTGCTATAGTATAGGATCAGCTCTAAAATTTGATTGTTGAACTTTCAAAAGTAACACCCTATAAATAAAATTTCGGACAAACTTTAATTGCATTTATTATGTAATTTATTTCATGCTCACAAAATACCTTTATACTTATTTGAAATAGGACTTTATAATCTATTTAAATTTAATTTAATTAAGTTAAAAATGTTATTTAAATATTGAGAATAAAATGGTCAAAGTAAAAGACCTCGAAAAAATGATGGAAATTTTTTTCCAAAAAAATCGAGAAAAAGGTAAAGCGTTTGTTGCTAAGTAGTTTATGGAATGGGGTTTACCCAGATCAACTGCTTACAATAAAATCGTAAAATTGGAGAATGGATCTCTAAAAAGAAAAGTCGGAAGTGGTCGAATTGCTAAGGTAGCTACTAAAGAAAATATTCCAAAGATTGCTGCGTTTTTTGAGAATAAGTCAGGGTGCTCTCAAAAGAAAATTGCTCAAGTTTTTAACTGTGTTCAAACTCGAATTTTCAAAGTATTAAAAATAATGACTAACATTCAAACTTTCAAAAAACAAATTGTCCAGATCGTAGCCATCAGCAGAAGATGCGTCCTAAATGTCGTAAATTGTACAAAAATTATAAAAACTTGAATTTTGTTATGGACGATGAAAGCTATTTTACCTTAAATAATAGCACATTAGCTGGTAATGATAGGTTTTATGCCGCTGATCCTTCTCAATGTTCTGACGAAGTAAGATACAATTTGCGTAAAAATTACGAGAACAAGCTCTTAGTTTCTTGTTGCATCAGCTCCCGTGGAATAAACCCTCTTTATATTCATCACAGTAAGCAGGCAATCAATCAGTACACTAATTAAAAGATACTAGGAAAAACTTTACTTTCTCTAGTATCATAATATTATAAAAAAGACAATGAGTTTATCTTCTGGCCTTATCAAGCTCGATCACATTACGCAAAGTCGGTCATCGACTTTTTAAAATTAAAAAAAATAAAAGTTGTACCCAAAGATATAAACCCAGCTAATGTTCCAGAAAAGACCAATTGAAAACTTTTGGGGTGATTTTAAACGGCTAGTATACAATAATAATTGGAGAGCTGAGAATTTGGAAGAGCTTGAAGCAAGAATTAGATATTGCTATTCAAAGATGAATAAAGAAATTTTCCTTACTCGAATAAAACATCGTTCAAAAAAACTTTATAATATTGTTAAATACGGTATTTGAAATAATTATTTTAATATATTCATAAACTACATATACTAACATATTAACAGTTGAAATATTAAATAATAAAACTTATTAGTTCTTAAAATATTAATTTTTAAATTTTGTCCAAAATTTTATTTATAAGGTGTTATCATTTAAAGGAAACCTGAGCATAGTTCTTTTAACCGTCAGATTAAAAATAATATTTGCCGTATTTATTTAGATTTTGCATCTTAGGTTTGTAAATAACGTCACGCATTTTGTAAAGTTTTTAGACACTCTCGCTTCTCCTAGTCACAAAATCCTAACCCACTCCCCTCACCTTTACAACGTTATTTATCAAATCAAATGTATACTGAAATAGATTTTATATTTCATGGAATATTTACATAGTGCATAAGTACTAATTTTAAGTAAACACCATAATGATAAACTAAAAAAACGTGAACAGTACAATATTTAAACCAAAAACTTTATGTAATAATAATAAGGTAAGAGGTTGAAATGAACAACCCTTTTAAATTCTTAAGTACTCTACTAGATTTAGATTTTATTTTAAAAAAAAAAAGACTTTGGATGAAAATAAAGATTCAAATAAACAAAAAATCAATTTTTGTGTATATTTGAAGCATTATGTTTAGATAAACAATCTGTCTACTATTTATTTTTTTAGGTCTCAACAAGCTAATATATAATAATATGAAAAACCCAGACGGATTTTTTTAATTTCAAGTTTGAAAAAAAAATACGTTTGACACCGTTTGGTCAATAATTCTAAAATGATTGCCGAATTTTGAACTTATTTAGAGAACAAATAAATATTTTTAATAAATTTTTAGTATTAACCTTCTAGTATGAATAGCAAGAGGATACTATAAAAATAACAAGTTTAAAATGGCTCTATAATGAGTTCTACCTGATTTTTACAGATAACGGCTCTCGATCAAAAAGGAAATCTATGATTAATCTATGTTATTTTTTTCTTACTAAGTCAATGCCTCATTAGTATTTTTTATAAATATGGTAAATAAAAGGCCGATACTCATTTTTGAAAATAAATTTATACTATAAACCGAGGGCTTTAACTCCGTTTTTGAGTTGGATTTTGAGCCTTATTTATTATAAATATGTTTCTATTTTTAGGTACTATACTAGATAAATATTTTTGATAGGTAAAATTTTTACTTTAGAGTAGGATATATGATATACTATTAGTGCGGTATATTTTTATACCTTTCAAGGTAGAAAACTATATAAAAAATAACAATTTTTCATACAATTTGTTTTCTTTAAAGTATAATTTTCTACCTTAGAAGTTAGAAAACTATACCTTACTAAGGGTATATCACATATCTTACTTTAAGGTAAACACTTCTACCTTTTTTTAGAGTGTAGTATAAATAGCATCAACATACTAAAAATATGGCAAGTTTAAAGAGAGTCACTATTGGGCTCCTAATTTTTACAGTTGCTTTCAAGGTACCACAGGAAAAAAAAGCTGATTTTTGTAGAAAAAATCAAAACTTTTTTTTTAATGTTAATTGGTGCAAAATTTACTGCTCTTTTAAATAATATATAGGTTTCAGGTGTTTTTATGTGTTAAAATAGTGTTTTTGAGATTTTATTACTAGACAGTATGAAGAAATAGTCCATAGAAACACCTAAGCAACGGGTATTACTTCCTATATCTTGCTTTTTATTGCTAAAAATGGATAGGAATTAAACAGAGTTGATTGTCAAATAAATATACTTTGCATTTTCGTCAGAGTTAAGGTCAAGGTAAGGGTTAGGGTTAGGGTTAGGGTTAAGCTAACCCTAACCCTAAACTCTGACCCTAACCCTGACTGAAAATAGGAGTTTATTTTACTGTTTTACAATTTAACGATGGTTGTACTGGTGTTACTATTATTTTTAAAGCATTTGACTTACTTGGAATATTTACCCTAAAAAATCAGTTAAACAAGATGTTAATCTTGTAAGAAGAATGCTGCGGAATTATTTGATTGAAATAAAAAACCAACTAAAGAGACTTGGAGGAATACATAATAGACTTTTAGACAGAGAAGAACAAATGAATTCTTATATACCTGGTCAATTTATCTAAGATTATTAAATGTTTTTTATTTTTTAAACTTACCTTTGTCTTTGTCTTCAATTTTCTAGAGTTATGATTTTTGTGAAAACTCTAAATTTCTAAACATGATATCTCAGCTAATAATATAGCTTCAGAGTTGAAATTTTCACCAATGATTCGTTACATATTAAAAAATTATTTAACCAATAGATTTTTTATAATTTTTCTACTTTTTTCTATAGAAAAAATTTAAAAATAAAAAGCACCAAATTTTTCCAAATATTTATAAAAAATTCATTAAAATCTGAAGAAACCGTTTAGGCAAAAAATTAAACGATTAAATGGAGCAAACCTATCATCAGAACAAGTGTGCAAAGTTTTAACTTCATTTTAAAACTATAAAACTTTTTATCCCCTATTTTAGGGTAAATTTCTGCCATTATGAATAGTTACTTAATTTTTAAATATTTTAATTGGAAAACACATAAGTATGTAATATATCATAATGAACATGAGTTTTATCTTAGAATCTGGATTTTAGTTTTTTTCCTTCGGTACCGTCAGGGTTAACCTTAAGATATTAGATATCAAGTTTTTGTTTTGGATTTTGATAGATCAAGTCAGATATCAAGCTTTGCTTTTCGTTTTAAAAAACAAAGTACTTTCAGTCCCAAAAAGTAGTTTGTCCTCGATTTGAAAACGATGGTACAACAGTTAATTTATTTAGCTTTGATATTTCAGAACATTTAAACACAATAATCTGAACTATGTGTTAAATGTATAATGTTGTGCACAATATAAAACACAGTGTTGAGCTGTGTGTTTAAAACTACGTATTGAACAACGTGTTGAATATTGCATACAATGTGTTGAACTAATTATTGAACACAATGTGTTAAGTTTTTTTAAATTTTTAAATTTTGCTTCTTTATTTAATTTTATTGCTTTTTTTATGTTTGAACTCACTTATTATTTCTTTATTATTTTTTGCTCTCATTTTTTAAACAGCTTAGAGTTTTATTTAGATCATACAGTCAACGTTATGGTGTATGTGCTAGCCCTATTTTGCGCGATCTGTGCACTCCAAGAGAACGTTCTTATACATTTAGTACTAATGATACAAAAGTAAACAGACACAGCTCAGAATATGTTTCTGTCGTAAGTATGAAAATTATTTTTGACCACTTTATAAATGTTTTTGACATTCGTTCAGCTTGAGCTGTTTCATTATTTTAATAAAACTTTAATTAATAAACAATCTAAAAGCCAAAAGAGGTTTTTTGAACAAATAGAGATTACATACAAAGATCCACAAAAATCAGTTTCTATGGTTGAATTACGTGAATAAAAGTTTAAGCAAAATGGCTCAAATTTTTATTTAAGTAGAGCTGAGCAATTTACTGCAAAAATGCTGAGTAACTACTCAGCTTTACAAGAATAAAAATTTGAGCGATTTTGCTTAAACTTTTATTCACGTAAAGCTGAGCAATTCTTCCAAAAACGCTGAGTAAAAGTAATTGCTTTTTATTATTCACTTGGTCTTATTCAACCATAGAATGTATTTACGCGACGGTCTTAAGTTTATCTTTTTAAAAATGTTTTATGGTATTGTCTAAAATAAAAACTAAAAGTAAAATAAAGTTATTTAAAGATTACTCGAAGTTTTTTTTTTTTTTTCTGATGTTAATTTTTAATAAAGCACAAATTGACTATTTCAATAATTTGTTAAATATGTTTTTATTGGTTATAGTAAGAACAAATTTAATAATATAATATTAAATGATTAAAAATATAGAAAAATTTGTGTGATTTTAATAAAATCAATAAAATAATTAGTAAAAGACTATACCAGATAAAGTAAAAAGCAGCCGTTTATCGCAGTGGTTAGCGCACTTGGCTCAGAAGCTAGAGATCCGTTGTTTAACGCCACCTCTGGGCAAGTTTAATAACATCGGTAAGGAAGCGTAAAACTCCTTTTAAATGTTCTATGATAAGACCGTTTGGACTTAAGCCGTGCTGTATGATAAGACCGTTAGGAATTCTTGGGACACCTAAAATAAAAAATAAAAAAACAAAATAATAATATAAATGTAATAAGTAAATATCAGAAAATTGCAAAGTTTTATTAAATTACATCCGTTTGTTTAAAAAAGAAGCCGCAGAAAATTTAATGAATGTAAAATTTATTATATATGTAAAATTTGATATACATGATAATATATGCGTTGCAAAAGAACAATTCTTGATTTATTTTCAAAAATATTTTGCAAAATCATAGAACGTTCTAAACGGTTTGTTTTTTGCTTTTCAAGTTTTAGTTTGAGGTGACAACCATCGTTAACATATGGTTAATTATAATACTTTGTTGGCTCGACTATCAAAAATAGGCTGGGTTAACTAAATTGTGATGCGCGGGTACAGAGCCAACAATGGTCACCTCCTAAATAAGAAGGGAAAAAAAATGATGATATATATATATATATATATATATATATATATATATATATATATATATATATATATATATATATATATATATATATATATATATATATATATATATATATATATATATATATATATATATATATATATATATATATATATATGTATACATTTATATATATATATAAATATATATATATATATATATATATATATATATATATATATATTTTATATATATATATATATATATATATATATATATATATATATATATATATATATATATATATATGTATATATATATATATATATATATATATATATATATATATATATATATATATATATATATATATATATATATATATATATATATATAAAACGGTGTATTAAAAACAAGAAACCACTCTTAACCCATTCTTTACCACCAATAAGTAGTTTTTCTTAGTTTTAAATATTTTATGGCTTTGTTTGACAATCGTACGTAACTAACTTTTATTTTAAAAATTGGAAGTTAAGTATTTTTTTTGTAATGTAAAGTAATAAAGTATATATTTAATATAAATTATAAGATTTGGTATTCACATAACTCGATTAAATCGTATTCACATTTCTTCGTTAAGCTTAAACGTGTGTTAGTAAAACAGTTTTTCGTTAAAGAATAAATTACACGGAACGCTCACTATGATTAATGGACTACTTGGAAAAAAGTATGTTGAGTTTTAACAAAATTGTATTAAGAATGATCGTTACAAAATGCTTACGTAGTTGCATTAAATAAATACGTATCAATTGTTTACTAATGGTTTATTAATAGCTTATTTAAACTCGTACAAATATTTTGGTATTTGCATAAAATACACATTTATACAAATGTCAATAGTTGTAGCCATACATACGTATTAAGTATTGTTAATTGCTTTTTGCAATGACATTGCCAAAATATAAAACAGAACTTCAAAACTTGGATCAATGGAGCATGTGAAATCACCTAAAATTATGCAAATTATGAACCAGTAACAGTTTTTTTAATACTTTTTTGTTACATTATTACATTATGTATATTGCTACACGCAAGACAATATTGCTGTTGAACTGCAAAAAGTAATACTTAATTTTACCTAAGTTAAAATTGTATATGTGTGTCTTGACACCTTATTTTTTACAATTATTAACTTTAGCACGTTATTATTATTTTAACTTAAATTTTCAGGGCGCATTTTTTTAATAAGTGTTCTTTTACGAATAAATTTAACCTTGAATAAAAAATCAAGATAAAATGAAAAAAAAATTGTTATCAAAATACATTAATTATTTATATTTAGCTATTTTTTGCAACAGCAGTTGTCATTTTTGTGGAAAATGCAGCGTTTGAAGCAATTACTAATGGCTTCTTCAAATAAAACAAACTATTTTAATCTAAATTCAATTTTAATCTAAAATAGTTAGATATTATCTCTTTTTATATTTTACGTCTAAGTAATGCAGTTTTTATTATAATACATACATACATACTTACATATATACTATACTATACTATACTATACTATATACACTACCGTCCATAATTATTCGAATAGTCGAACTTTTCGATATAAGGTATCAAATTTTTACTTACTATAGGGAGAGAAACTGTAAACAAAGTCTACCTGAATTATATGTTATCTTTCTTTTATAAGGTTTACAAAAAAGTTAATAAAAATCCTTTTAACCACTCTTAGCGACAATAACCGCCGTATATATTCTTGGCATTCTACTTAACAACTTTTTCAATTAGTCGAAGTCAATTTTATGCCACTAACTTATAAATTTTGTCCACGTCTTATGCATCATTTGGAATTAATTTTTGACATTAATTTGAATTCCACACATTAAAATAAGATAGGAAAGAGATCATGTAATTGGGGAGGCTATATCATTTAAATCAATATTTGATCATTCTCGAATTCAGTCATATAAATTAAACAAGTTTTTGAAAAATATGTTTTAGATTTAAGCTTCAAGTCATTTTCTTTAGAAAAAATGAACATCTTCTCATTAACCCATCTTTCCAAAGGTGTAGCATATTTTTTTAAGTGTACAAGCAAACTACTTTTGTCATTACTCCCTCTATTTTCACAAAGTCACCTGTGGCATTCTAACCCAAACACCTTAACACTACATCCACCATGTTTACCAGTCAATAATGCACATAACTTTATCATAAATTCAACGATTTTTTTTTCCAGACAAACAATCTTATTTTGAAACCAAAGATTTAAAACTTCAACACGACGGTCTGCGTTTACAGTCATTGATGGTCCTTTTTTTATGTAGTTTTGCCCACCATTGCATTTTTATCATTCTTACGATTTTTATTAAAGCATTTTAACTAAAATACTTTTAAACCATCTAATAGTGAAAAAATAAACATAAAAAAAAATTAAATAAAAAATAGCATTTTTAAAAAAAATTATATGTATATATTATATTATGTGTATATAAAAATTATGTCTATATATATATATATATATATATATATATATATATATATATATATATATATATATATATATATATATATATATATATATATATATATATATATAGACATAATTTTTATATACACACACATATATATATATATATATATATATATATATATATATATATATATATATATGTATATATATATAGTAGGGTGGTGCTAAAAACAATATTTTTTGAAAATGTCTGCTGACACCTCCTAAATGTGCTCTATATAATCAAATAATACTGGATTAAAAAATTTATTTATATTTTTAATATATTTATTTATTTGTATTTTAATATATTTATTTATTTATATTTTAATATATTTATTTATTTATATACAAAAAATTTATTATTTTTTATGTAAATTTTTAGTGCAATTTTAATTTTGATATAAAATTAGTATACTTTCGTTTGTATTTTAATGGTTCAAAAAGCAAAAGACACTTATCCAGACAGCTTCAGGAAAACAGTTTTTCAAAGTTTGAGAACTTCAATTAATTAATTAGTTTTAAAATATTTTAGTCGGTCTGTAAAATTGTTATTTTTTGAAATTTAATATCATTAATTATTTATTTTTAATACCATTTATTAAAGCGGTTCATAAATTTTTTTTTTTTTGAAAATGTCCGCTTCAAAGTGTTAAATTACTACAATAGATAGCTATATTTCAATTTTTTGCGAAATCAGTTTATTTCTTGACCTCCCTCCATTTATTTAAAATTTCTGACTTGATACGTAAAAAATACGTGAAAAACTACAGTATTTTTCACGTATTTTTCACGTAATACAAATTGAACAATATTGAGCAGGAGTTTCAATGTTTTTATGGAACAATAAAAGATTCAGAAATAAAAGGGGGCGAGTGAATAAGTGCGAAATCGCATACTTGCAAACTGTTACAAGTGTAAAACAGTTGTAAAAACTGACATAAGTCAGCATAAAATCAGTATAAGTGCGAACTTGCATAAGTGTGCTAAAAGAATTTGTAATCATTGGCATAAGGTACTAAGGTACTTCAAACTAGTACATTACCACAAATCTGGAAAGATGCAAATATCATTCCAATTTTCAAAAAAGGAGACAAGAAACTAGTTACCAACTATAGACCCATTAGTTTAACATGCACTATAGTCAAAATATTTAAAAAAATAATACAAAAACATATTTTTATTCATCTTTTAAAAAACAATCTACTAACTCCTAGTCAACACGGTTTTTATCCAGGGCGCTCTTGTGAAACAAATCTTCTTACTGTAATCAATACATGGACACTTAATTTAGATAAAGGTCTTCCCGTCGATAATATTTACCTTGACTTTGAAAAAGCATTTGACAAAGTCCCACACGACTATCTTCTTTTGAAACTAAAAGCCTATGGGATTAATGGTCCAATTCTCTCTTGGCTAAGAAACTTTCTCACAAATCGAAGACAAAAAGTAATGATAAATGGTACTTACTCTGATTGGGTATCAGTAAAAAGTGGAGTTCCCCAAGGTTCTGTTCTCTCAGCTCTATTATTTATATTATATACGTTAACGATATATTATATACGTTAACGATATTCCCAATATAATTACTTCAAATGCAGCACTTTTTGCTGACGATACAAAAATATTTTACCTTATTACTAATTTGCATTCACACACCGTACTTCAAAATGATATTGATATCTTGGTTGACTGGGCAACTAAATGGGGGATGAAATTTAATATATAGAAAAATGTTCAGTTTTAAACCTAGGTCATAAAAATAAACATCTTGTCTATTTTATGTACGATCTAGTAAAGAAAACAAAGATTGATATCAAATCTACAACTCAGAAACTGACCTCGGAGTACATATCGATAATAACTTGCTATTTTCTAAACATACCTCTACTCAAATTAATAGGGCAATCCAGATGCTATTTCTAATAAAAAGATCTTTCTCTTATCTAAATTCATTTTGTTTTAAAAGACTGTTTTCAGCACTAGTACGACCATATTTAGAATATTGTGGTTCTGTATATAACCCTCGTCTACTGAAAGACAAACGACAAGTTGAAAATATACTCAGAAGAGCATCTAAATCAGTTCATGGATTAAAAAGT